TTTAATTTTAATGTTACACAAGTTTTAATTTTAAAACATGCCATCAAATTTTGCATATTTTAATTTTTGAAGTTTATTAATTAGCACCATCGGCTTGAGCATGAGTTTTTTTACTAATGGAAACTAATAGTATTATTTGTGTGATAAATGTAAGCAACGAATTCGCTACTTTATACGCAAGCTCTAATTAAAAATAGAGGAAAAAAAACAAGAAAACGAAGAATTTAAAAGGTATTATTTTACTTAGGGCAAGTTGGGGCAAATGATTTTTATTTTTTCTGCTTTTATATATACCAATTAATGGGAAAATATTAAAACTACCATGGAATCTAGTGGAATCTTTTAGTTTTTGAACTAAACTCATAAATAAACTAATTTAAAAAAATCAATTTATGACATATTTTTGAGATCTCAGTAATGAAAACCTGAAAATTGTTTGTCAAAAACGTAGTTAATATTTAATAAACATCTTAAACATATGACTTCAAATTGAAACAGCCGTGGCGCAGTGGTTAGAGTTTTGGCATACATACAAAAAAAAAAAAAAAAAAAAAATTTAAATTTTTTTTACCTATATCAATCTTAAAAAAGTGACACTAAAGCAAGACTTTTTTTAACGAGTTTACCAAGATATAAATTTAAATAAATAAGTCTCAGAAAAAGGCGTTTAAACTGGTGAAATCCTAAAAATTATTCACAAAAAAGTTAATTATTGTGTTATAGTCATATTTAGTTATATTATAATTTAATTCACTATTTTTTAGCAATAGCTTTTTATGTTTGTTTTTTTTGTTTTTTTTGCTGTTTTTTATAGATTTTGACTTATTGTTGGCCGTGACGCAGCGGTAAGAGCGCTTGATTTGAAAGAACGAGATCCAGTGTTCGAAGCGAACTCTAGATCTCTTGTTTCTGGATTGGTAAGATAGGAGGCGGGAACTTTCTGCTTGGTACTCTGTGACAAGACCTTTAAGTTTTCTTGGGGCGCCTAAAACAAAAAATAAATAAACTAGTCCTTAAGTCAAAAAAATAAACTAGTCTTTAAGTCAAAAAAGTAGTATATTATATATATGATTTCTCAAACGGGATCCTGGGATTCCGTCTTCACGGGATCCTTGAACTAAAAATGTATAAAATCGTAACTTATATGGCTTTGTTTTAATTTTTATGATTGCATTTTTTTTTATTTATGAATTTTAATATTGTTAAATTTTTCTATCCTACGTTACATTTTCCCCTTTAATACGCAATTTCACTTATCGTAAAATAGTACATTAGGACGCTTTTTGAAATAGATGCTATTGCTTTTTTAATGTTTGACAAAAAGTTGAATTTTTTGCTGAAAAAGATAATTAAGTTATTAACTCTTTTTAAAAAAGTTTAAATAACTTATAGTCGATTTATTTCTTAAAAACAACGCTGTTCATTGTTCAAAACAACCCTACGAGATAGGGTAGTTTTGGACAACATTGGAACAGTTTAGAGAATATTATAAAAAGAAAATAATTTTTTTTTTATTGAGCATTGATAATAAACATAAGCAGAATTATGAGAAATATTACCAATAACATAATTATCTTTATAAAGATCTCAAACCATTAAATAATTTCCTTATATATTATTTTGAATATATATAGTTTGAATATATTCAAACAAACCAAAATGAAAATACTATTTAATCCTCTATCCCAGAGAAAATAAAAACATGGGTCTTATGTGGGTTCCCATGAATCCTACACAAAACCCACTTAAGAACCTGTGTGGGACCATCGTATTTATTCACTCGGATCAATCTCATAAATACAAAAGTTTTAATTTAACAAAACTACAATGTAGAGAATGTGTATGTAAAATGAATTGAGATAAGCATGAATAAAAGTTTTTTTTCAACTAATTTAAAAAAATAAAGTCTAAAACCAAGTTTGAATGTTATAAACCTCATAATAATTGTGGGAATAGAAGTAAAAGTTACGAGCAAAAATACTTGTAGCAAAAGTTAATGAATACTAGGTGAAAAAGTAATCAGTTTTCAATTTTCATAAATTAAAAAGAGAATAGCCGACCGAGATAAAAGTACAAAAGGACAAATATCCAGTTGAAAAATAAATCCGTTTAAGAGTGCAATACTAAAATGAATTTATTTTTTTATTTTATTATAAAATGTTAAAATATATTGAATGTTAAAAGAAAAATCAAAGGTATTCGAGACATGATCACAAAAGTTACAGTTAGTCGTGGTCGCGTTATTTAAACTGCTAATATAGAGCAGGGGTGCCCAACTGAAATCGGTATCAAACCAATAGCTGTGATTTAATTTTCCGTAGGTAATAGTTGTACCTGGTATTTAAACGCAGATTATATTTTTCAGAAAATGATAAACACAAATTATCTAAAAAAAAGTAAAAGTTTGTTTTTATGCTTATACTTAAAAACGAAAGTTTCTCAATCCCATCATGCTTTTCATCACTGGGTCCTGGTTTACTAACCTATTTAAACAACTAGTTGACTTGCATGCATGGTTTTGCAAACTTTGCAATTTTAGTAATTTGGTTTTATCGGTGCTGTCCCATGTAATATTTGCGTACAAAAGTTGACTATGTACAAAACTTAAGTAAAGCATATTACGTGATTTACTATCGAGAAAAAGTCTCAACTTATACAAAACACCTATTACAGAAGAAACCTTTGTTTCAAGACGACAAATATGGTTTCTCAATGACAAATTTTCTTCAAAAAGTACTCCCAAATATTTTGTGTATTTTTTACGTTTAATTTTATTTTTTATTAATAAACAGTTTAGGCAGCTTTAACGAAAGATTAATTGATTGTGTTTTTTTTTAATGAAAAAGAGTAAAGCTAGTTTTTTCACAATTTAGGGATAATCTATTTGCTATGAAGCAATGGTAGAAATTTTGGAGTTCAATAGTTTCAATTTTCAGTTCTTAATTTCAAACAAAGTTTTGCATCAGGATGATTAAAAAATAAATTTGTATCGTCAGCATACATAATTGAAGATATTTTTGGGAAGCTTTATGCATATTGTTAATATATATTAAAAACAATAATGGACCTAGGATTAAACCTTGAGGAACTCCACGCGTAATATTGAGGGCTCCTGACTTTTCTAATATAACACAAATTGCTTTTTGTTGGCCAAATAGCTTTGAATCCACTTAAATGTTGACCCTAATATGCCGTAGTATTTTAGCTTTAAGTTTGTTAGGGAATATACTATTTTCAAATAAAGATGATATTAAATAAAATAATGGTTTACTAATGCTGTCTATAACATAAATAGCTACATTACTCGAAATACCATCATATCCATATGACTTGTTGCGTTATTAAATTCAAGTTTTGTTATATTTTCATTATTTATACTAGTGTTGGGTTTTTCTCCCAAAATATTATCAAATGTTTTATTTGGTTGCGCAGTGTTAGAAGCAAGAGAGACAAAAAGTTTTTAAGTTCTTGACATATGTTTGTTATAAAAGAATATTTGTTAAACTCTTGACTAATATTTGTTTCACTTGTTAAATATTTTTTATCGAAAATTAATTTTTGTGCTAAGCAAGTATGCTTTTTTTTCTCTTCCTGTTAGTTGGTTTATAACAGCCCAAGTCCTTTTCATTCCGAATTTATGCTTATCAAGCTGATTAGAAATATATCTTATTTTTGCTTTTTTTATATTATGTTGAAAAACTTTTTATAATTTTTGCAGATTTTTTCATCATCTTTACTTTTTAATTTTAAAAAACTTTACGTAAAGTTTTGTTTTCTTTTTGATGCTTTAATTAAAGTTAATTTCAATTTTAATTGGCGCAGTAGTTACGCTGTAACTACTGCGCCACGGCCGCAACACGGCGTTTTTAAAATTATTCAGGTTTTTTATAGAAAGATCGCAAAGCATATTTTATTGTCAATACTAGATAGTAATTTACAAAGCATAGTAAGATACTTCACAATACATAGAAAATATTAAGTCACAAAGCATTTTTTTATTGTTTTTTATTTTTACTAGATAGTACCTCGCATGCTATAAGAAAAAACCGGAAAATGATCAGAAAAGTCTGTAACAAAAAGGGCTGATTCAAATTTAGTATTTAATGAACTGTTTGTTAAAATATTGTAAATCACAGAAAGTGTTTGGTTAGAAATTTACTATTTGAATTTAATATAATACCCACCATATATAAGCGCGTGGGCTTAAATATGGTGGGTATTATATTAAATTCAAATAGTAAATTGAAAAAGTTTTTATGTTTGCAAACTTTTCATAACGTAATGCGTCCATATTTGTTTTTCATACAAGTTTTTTTCTCCTAAATTCATCTGGTTTATAATATTCATTCTTCTGGTTTTTAATATTCATTATTTAAGCAGTTATTATCTATTTCTGTCAAAAATTTATAATCATTTTTGTTATATTTCAAAGATTCAAAAATAGGTAATATTAATTTTATTAAATTAGCTTCATTGTTATGGATTGTTTTAGATATATTTCATTATTAGTATAATCCTTAATAAAAACTTTAATTTAGTACTTAATAAAACTATTAAAACGTAAATAAATAAATTACTTGCTTTCAACCTCGTTCTCATGTTTCATTTCTCTTACCACTGATCGATTATTTTTTTTTTTTGACTTTCACGTATTTTCCGTTACTCTGTAATAGATATATATAATAGAGAAACCCTATAACATATACATATTTTTAGATAGAGATAAAATAATTCTCATTTTACAAACAATGAACAATATGAATATATATAATTTTTTTTTTTTTCATATTTTGTACAAAATACACTTAATGATAATGCCGTAATTATATAATGGTTTTAGGAAAGGTTTTTACCTTCTTTTTTTTTACATTGGTGAGCTAAATTATATTTCTTTTTATTTTAGATGTTTAAACTGCTTCAATATCCACTTTTTATTTTATTTATATTTTCACTTTATTTGTTGTCAACAAAATTTTATTTTGAAAATTTTTCTTATCAAGTCTACCAAACGCAAATAGCTCACAAACTTGGTAATATATCAAGAACTCTAACGGAAAAAAGTTCTAATTTGGGATGTCTAAGAGAGCGTTTTAAAACAACGCTTCTCATTATTGTCTACAACTCTCCCATTTACGACAACATTTGGTTACTTCAAGACTTGTACGGTAAGCTTTTCACAAAGATTATTTTTTGTGGACCGGAACACCCATCGGCGCCTAACTTTATATTAAAAACTGTTACGTACAAAGGGTTTTTTACCTATGAAGAGTGTGCTGCCCGTACAATAAATGTTTATCATAATTACACTGGATATTTACTTATAAACGATGATCTTTTTTTAAACATTTTAAATATAAAAAACCTTAGTTTATCTATGATATGGGAAGGTCCAATTCCAAATGCTCCAAATAATCTTAACATAAAGCAAACTGAATGGGCGTGGAATGCTCCTTGGGGCGTGAAAAGTTGTGTTAAAGCTCTAGAAAAATCAATTTCATTAAACTTTACAAACCTTCACCAAGAAAAATCTTTTTATTTCAAAGTTGTTTCTGGTCAACATATATGTTATGGTGCGAGGGCAGATATTTATTATATACCTGATAAAATGGCGGCAAACTTTAGTAAACTAGCAAAAATATTTAAAGAAGAAAATGTGTTTTTAGAAATCGCTATGCCAACTATAATAAGACTGCTTACAATTGACGTCGTAAGGTTGAATGGTATATACATGCCAGACGGCGTTACCGAAAGTAAAGCAGTTATAAATTCGTTCAGTCCAGATTTAGATTTTATACATCCTATAAAACTGTCTTATGGTGCAAGATCTGTAGAAAACTTTGTTTTTTTAAAATACTACTCATTTCTTTCAACTGCCCTTATTACATGTTAATAGTTTTCATTTACAAAGTTATAACTAATATAAAGTATTGTATACTTTTTTTTTTTTTTATCTCTCTATATTCTGTTATAAAAATAATTTCAAATTTGTTTTAATGATTTTATATTTAACTACCAGAAGTAAAAAAAATAACGATCAAAAAAATTAATTTAGAAAAATATCAATAAATGAACAAACAAAAAAAAAATTTTTAAATATAACATGATTTTAAAAAAGTATTAAACACCAGGATTTTGAACTAATAAAATGATGAACAACTAACGCTCTTAAAAGAAAAGAGCGCAACAATCTTTCTTGCCTTATCTTTGAAGAAAAAGCAACGATCCTTCGTTCAACTGTTATTCATAAAAGAAAAGAAAATGCAAAAATGATTTTTGCAAATGTCGCTCTTAAGAAAAAAAAAGCAAATGAAAAAAAAGCAAAAATAAAGTCATATAAAAATGACACTTTATTTATATATATTTACAGAAACTTTGTTTCCTGTTTACAAATTTTGATTATCAGCAACATGATATTACTTTTTTTATTTTTAAATCTCCACTTATAGTATCTGAAACAAACACAACATTTAGGTCTGGTTGATTGTTCGTGTAGCCTCTTTCCGTTGTCACAAAATAATACTAAGAACAATTTACGATTCCTTGAAAATTCTTGAAGTCATTGACGGAGACATCAAAAATAGCATTAATCTTATCTCTTGAACATATAACTTTGTTTGTTCTAATATATAGTTACTTTATAGTTTAATTGAAAAATAGTTTCATATATCATAGCAAAACCTTTTTAATGAATTTCTTAGCTTTTTTAACAAATAAGGTCTGTAAAACTAATTCTAAGTATTGAGAATATCAAAAAGTGCTTTGACAACTGAATCAGTTTTAGATGAAAGGGTAGATTAGCTCCAATCTTCTTGAACTGTTGCACAGTGAGCCAGAATTGTCTAAAAATGGCAAAACTATTTATAGGTTTAATATAGACATATGATACATGTTTATTGAGGTTTAGGAGCTCACGGATTTCTTTTTTTGGGCTCTAATTTAAGTCTTGCTTCCTGGAAATGATCTTAAGTTAGGAGAATTCGAAATTTTAAGATTCATTAAGGTTAGTCATGGGTTTTTTGATGGTTTATAAATTAGATAGGACATCTTGTATATCTAAATATAGGTGACTGCTATCAGAGAATTCAAATCTTTGCATATTTAGACTTTAGATGTGGTCATGAGCGCTTAAATGGTCATTTTAGTGGTGGTCCAGGGTGATCCTGAGATGACCCAACGTTCAATTAGATAGGACATGTTGTATGTCTAAATATAAGTAAATGCGGTCAAGGAATTTGAAACTGGGCATATTCGATTTTCAGAAGCGGTCATGACCGTTCAGGTGATTATTTTAGGGGTGGTCAAGGTGGTTCTGGAATATTCCGATAGTTTTTCAATTAGATGGTACATATTTTATATCTAAATATAAGTAATTGATATCAGAAAATTCAAATCGGGCCATATTTGGGATCCAGAAGTATTTATGATTGCACAGGTAGGTTTGGTCATGGGTTATCAAGACTATTTCGTGACTTTTATTTAGTTTATATAGTTAATTTCTTTGATATTGTGAATATAAGCAAATAACGTTTAATAATGTTTTTAAAAATGTACAACATAGTCTTTGACTATGTTGTACATTTTTATGGTTTTTTTTTGAGAAACACTTTAAATAAAAGCAAGCTTAAAAGTATATATTTTTTAAATATATTTTCACAACTACATATTAGTTACAATTTTTTTTCACATCATATATAAATCCGACTTTTCATTTGTTGAAGATTTTTTTTAGTTAATTTGTTTTAGTTCAAATTTTGATTTATCATGTGAACTAGAAAAATTCTATGTAACTATTTGTATTTAGAGCAAGATTTTTAAGTTTTGATTTTAAAGCAAATATTTTGTCAGAAAGAGTAATTAAGGTGTATTTTGTTAATAAGGTCAGTGAGAAAAGAATTGAGAGTTTTTTTTTTTTTTTTTTACAAGTTACAATAAAGTTACTAATTGCTTTTGTGTTAAACTTATTGGTAATTAAATGAAAGAAATTTTCTGTAAATCGTGAAGGAACTTATCCCGTTTTGTATTTTAGCATAAACAGTATATTAGCAAAGATGTTATTTTGATAAATGTTTAGCGCTTTCGTTTCTTTTAACAGAGCTTTAGCATGTATGTGTGTGTGTTTTTTTTTATGATATACTATTCTAGAAGCATGTTTCTGCCGTTGATAAAGAGACAATAATTTTATCTTGTGTGTGCTTCACCAAGCAATGTTAGATGTATAATGTTAGATGTTAGATGTATAAACAAAAAGTAAAAAATTTTCAAGTTTTTTTTGTAATAAAAATGATCTAGCTTTAAAAAGTAAACCAAGATATTTAAATATTTGAGTGTTGATGGCCTTTATGTGGGCTGTCGAAGACCTATTTTCGTCTATAACTACTCTAAATTTAATTGTTTGGGTTCTTTAAAATTGTTGAAATTGATTCTTAGAGAGGGAAGATTTGATGAAAGTGCCTTTTTTTTGTTACTTTGTGAAATAAAGTATTTTTAGTTTTTGTACCTTTATTGATTATTTATTTTATTGATAATTTATTGAATTGATAATTTATTTTATTGATAATTTATTTTATTGATAATTTATTTTATTGATAATTTTATTGATAATTTATTTTATTGATAATTTTATTGATAATTTATTTTATTGATAATTTTATTGATAATTTATTTTATTGATAATTTTATTGATAATTTATTTTATTGATAATTTTATTGATAATTTATTTTATTGATAATTTATTTTATTGATAATTTATTTTATTGATAATTTATTTTATTGATAATTTATTTTATTGATAATTTATTTTATTGATAATTTATTTTATTAATAATTTATTTTATTGATAATTTATTTTATTGATAATTTATTTTATTAATAATTTATTTTATTGATAGTTTATTTTATTGATAATTTATTTTATTAATAATTTATTTTATAAATAATTTATTTTATTGATAATTTATATCGAAGAAGAAAAAAATTTATTAAAGAGGAAATAATTTCATCGAAGAGGAAAAAAATTCATCAAAAAGGAAAAAATTTAATCGAAGAGGAAAAAAATTCATCGAAGAAGAAAAAAATTCATCGAAAAGGAAAAAATTCATTGATAGAAGAGGATGAAAAAAAATAGATTTGTAATATCTGCAAACACCACATTTTATTTTTAATAGCTTTAAATTAGAAATATTGTCGACTATGACACCTTGTTACCTATTATTTAAATAACTGGTGAACCATTTAATAGTTTTATTTTTGATACCATATTTTTTCATTTTTCAATCAGAATTTTATGGTTGACCGTATTGAAAGCTTTGCAAGATCAATAAAGACTCTCAATACAAACTGTCCTTTATCAAAAGATGAGCTGATGTTGTTCATAAGGTCTATGATGTTCCGTTGAATAGTTCGTTAAAAAAAACCGTACTGGTGTTCCCTTAAATTTTTATTTTCTGTTAGATATATATAGAGTCTATTGTAGATTATTTGTTCCAAAAGACTGAAAAATACTGGAAGAATTGAGAAAGGTCTATAGTTGGTTAGTGTCTACTGATTTAAATATTGGTAAAACTTTCTCTATTTTTAATTCGAACAACTCCTGCTCGAATTGATGAGTTAAAAGTATTAAAAAGAGGATCTTTCATAAAGGGTAAGACATCTATCACTACATTAATGCAAAATATCATCGATGCCAGGTGCTAGGTTTTTTTTATGATTTTTTTTCTTTTTCGAATTCTTCTAACTTTAGATCATTTTCAGAAAGTAAGCTTGTATGGTTAGTAAAATAGTTATTTCATGATTTGTTCAAAGTGTTTTTTTTGTGATACTATTTGGGTCAATATTTACAAAAAACTTATTAAACTTATCAAAGATAGTTTCTTTATCTGTATACTCAAACCCATTTTCCTGGATTCTGGAGGGTAAAGTTTCTGAGGGTAAAGTTTCTGGAGGGTAACGTTTCTGGAGGGTAAAGTTTCTGGAGGGTAAAGTTTCTGGAGGGTAACGTTTCTGGAGGGTAAAGTTTCTGGAGGGTAAAGTTTCTGGAGGGTAAAGTTTCTGGAGGGTAAGGTTTCTGGAGGGTAAAGTTTCTGGAGGGTAAAGTTTCTGGAGGGTAAAGTTTATGGAGGGTAAAGTTTCTGGATGGTAAAGTTTCTGGAGGGTAAAGTTTCTGATTTTAATTTAGTTTTTAACAATAATTCTGTTTATTATATCCCATGATTTTTTAATACTATCAACTTTTTAGGTTTTTTTAAAATTTTTTCAAAAATATTTTTTATTGTTTATATGAGTTTTTGTTAATATATTTTGTTAATATATTATATTGTTTATATGAGTTTTTATGAGTTTATATGAGTAAAATCGTAAGATCGTAAGATTTTTTTAATATTTTTTTTTTTAAATATTAGTTGTCTAATTTTTGTTTTTTCTTAGAGGATTTTTTTATTCCTTTTGTAATTCATGGACATTTTAAATGTTTAATTTTTCTTTCTTTTTCTTTAAATTGAAAGTGTTTATTGTATTGTTCAAAAAAAATGTTGATAAATATGTTATAGGCAGTATTTGGAAGCCCTTGGTTGGATTGAACATAAACAGTAGACCAATTTGTTTTCCTTAAAATTTGCGTATAAATATAAGTATGTTGTAAATAACAATAGATTAACAACTTTCGTTACTTCATTTTATTGTTTCAAACAGTGATAATAAGTCAAACGCGTTACTCACAAGGTTACTCATTTAAAATGAATATCAATATATTTTTTATATCAAAACAATTTGACGTAGCTCTTAATTTCACTCATTTTTAAGCAGATTTTTGAGGTGATCAAAAAACTTCAGTTTGCTATGTGTTTCAGGCCTATTGATTTTTTTTTTGCATGTCATGTTTCAGCAATATATTTGGCACTCTTGAAGTATGATCATGGGGAGTTAACCCTTCTTCAAGCATTATCCAT